TTAAACAGAACTCGACCGGAGTAGGAAACCCCGATCACATCATGCTCGAGTCAATATCCCAAACTAGGGGAGCCAATCATTCATTTTTTGTTTAAAAAAAAACAATGGTCCAATGTGATTAAAAAAAAATGGTCCATGTGGAGGACCCTATTAAATATGGTGGAGCCCTAAGTCCATTCTCCATACAATTTTCTCTATTCAATGTGATGCAGACTCTTCACGGATTTAACTGAAGAACAAAGTACATTACACATATAAACCTCGAAAGGAGTCCATGTTTCTGCACATGCAAATAATGTAAAGGAAGTTTCTCTCACCTTATATTCACAAATTCTCCATCTCTTGTGAGCATTTTGTACATACTGTTGAAATGGATTAATAGTTAAATCATAAGTTCCATTAAAAGTTGGCATGTGGAAATTGATGTGCTCTCGCACCTCGAACTGGCCTTCCAACGATCCTCGACAGCTTGCTCCCCGGAGACCTGCAAAGATGCCGGGAGGTATTCCCGGCGTTAAACCTCCGACGATCAAGTCAGTAAAAGGTTTTAGAAAGCTATATGGAATAGTATAGAGTGTGATTAACCTTACATCTTCTGATGGAGGCGAGATCGCGATGACATTTATGGAAAAATGTGATCGTTTACCATCTTTAATTTAATTATTTATTTCCTGTCTATTTTGCTATTATGCTTTATTTTCCTTTTCCTAGTTGGTAGATGAATATTTAATATTATATGAAAGTTACTTGTTTAGCAAGATAGTGATTTAGACTAATTTGGACTATATATTGTTTATTCTGCATAAAATTCGATCGACTTTTATTGAAATAAATTATCAGATTTTGAGATTCCTCATCTTATTCCCCTTTCGTTTACGCTGTGCTACATTAGTTGGTATCTAGAGATCAGCTACGATTCGCGATGTCGCCCAAAAGGTACGGCACGACCGACAACAGGCGGGATGCTGCGATTGAATCCATCACTCCACAAGGCGAGGGTTTCGGACGACAGTTTCAAACTATTGGTCGTGAGATGGCGGACCTCTCGACGGGCATGGAGGACATGAGGTTGGCTTTTTTCACATGATGATGCAATGCGACCAAACGAACCGTGACGGGCTCGAGGGTCGAGACGGCGGTCGCGGTGGGTATCGTGGTTGTCGTGAGGGTCGCGGTCACGCGCGATTTGGTGGCAGACGACGTTCGCCATGTGAGGAGGAGGGTGGCGATTCGGATGTTACAGTGGAGGATTTTAACCTGTTCAGACGAGATAATCCATGGGCAGAAGAGTAGCGCACGGCGAGAGGCAAAGGGAGAGCTCGTTCCGCGTGGATATTCCAGAGTACTCGGGTGGGCTGGACGCATCCAATTTTCTCGATTGGCTCGCATCGGTGGAGGCAGTTTTGGAGTACAAGGATGTCTCAAATGATCATCGGGTTGGCCTCGTCGCCACACGGCTACGAGGACGGGCTGTGGTGTAGTGGCAGCACCTCAAGGATATGAGACGGCGGCTGGGAAAACCATAAATCATGACATGGGCAAAGTTCCGGAAGCATATCGAGTGGGAGTTTCTTCCGTTCAACTACGTGAGTACCATGTATCAACAACTCCATAATTTGCGGAATGGTGCTCGATCCATGGATGAGTACATGGAGGACTTCCGTTGTCTTCTCACACGGGTTGATATACAAGAGACGACGACCCAATTAGTGTCATGTTACGTCAGTGGGCTGCGACTAGCCATTCGCGATACGTTGAATTTATTCGCGTCGAATAGAGTCTTTGCTGCTCATCAGCAGGCCTTGTTCATTGAGAAGCAACAATCGCGGCGTGCTTTTTCGTCACGGGGATTTCATCCGCGCATGGGGGGACCTTGGTCTTCATCGGCCAGGTAGACCCGTTCCACGGTTACGGGTGGCCCTCCGTGAGTCCACAACAACACGCCTGGTACGATCGAGTTTCCGGCACTAGGAGCTTCACCCAATACGGCAGTCGGGATCAGAGCAGCATCATCGGCGGTGGAGAGTTCACGCTGATGGGACAAAGATGTTACCCGGACTCCCTCAACTCGGACGGCCACCGTACCTGCAAGAACCCAAAGTCCGGACCCCGGGAGGGGTGCCCGGCTTTGGGCCTCCGATGCTTAAGTCAGTATTGGATTCATATAATAATGCATAGAGAGAGTAGGGAGAGAGTGTAGAGAGAGAGTGTAGTAATGGAATGGGGAGAGAATGAATCAAATGAGTACCTTAGCCCCCTTTTT